AAATTTCATTAGCGTACGGCAATCTCAAAACGGTACCGCGGTCGTCCGTTTCGATGTAATTTCCGCGCATTGCGCGTAATACGATTAAACCGACGCCTTGCATGTCCAGATCGTTGCTGTGCGCGACAAACATTAATAAATGTTTAAATTTATACAAATCGGCGCATTCGTATACGGCGGTTTCCATGTTTTTCGATCTGTAAATCTGACGCAACGATTCGATCAAACTCGTGAAAACGTGTCCGGGCGATCGATCAAAATGTACGGTCGTACGCGTCCGTCGGAATCGACGTAATGTCCGTCTTTGAACGGAAACACTGCGAATACCTTTAAATACCGTTTGGGTATTATTTGTATTTTTTTTATGTCCACTTGATTTCTGTACTCAAAGACGGTCGCATCGCTCACGTGTTTCACGTTTTCGCACGATTTGCTGGTGCATATGTTTTGCACGTGTTCCGGTGATATAGAGTCGAGCGTGTCGTTAAATGTACCGGACGCTCCGACCGACGGCGGCTGTTGCATATCTAGATTTGCGCGGTACGTTTGTCTTTTTAAATCTCGTACTTTATATTTCGGTACGAACGACGTGTCGTAGACGATGCCATTTTTGGAAATCGAATTTGTGTAAAAGGCTTCGATCGCTATATATTCTGAAAATCCGGTATGATACAGCAACGTGGCCAGTTTAGCTTGCCATCGGTCATCGCCGTTTGTCAAATCTGTTATAGACTTAGCGTTAAGCGAATGCAACGCGTTTTGATAAAAGTACGTCGAAAACGAACAGTTCGGGTATAAATCGAACGCGGTCCGATTGTCGAACGCTATTTTTTCGAAATTGTATAAAGACACGTTGTCGTTTACGAGTTTCGTAGGAACCGGTAATTTATACGAATATTGTACATTTATCGGTGTAGTGGGTTCTCGTGGTTTTTTTAATTGAACGCGAAATCGATTGAATTCACCGTTGTCAATAGTAGTCGGATGTACTTTGATTAGTTCACGTATTTCGTTTAATAATTTTGTTTCTGTTGCATTGAATTCCGCGTCGTTTGTGAGTTTCGAAAAATTTACGTACTGGTGTGCGTTTACGAATTGTAATATTTTTTCAGCGTGCCGGTACATACGATTGAACAAATCCGAATCTACGTCGAAGTACGCGTTGCATATAGCTATTGTGTAATTTTGCAATTGGAGTATATCAAACGGACTCAGCATGTCATAGTTATAATGTAATTTATTGCCGTGCAACGTATCGTAAATTACCAGTTGTCGGTTTTTTTCTAATACGGAATAAACCGCAGACCCGTTGTGTTGACGACGACGCGTTAAGAGCAGCATTTTCCAGTATCTATATTCACGCAACGGATAAATATAGAGATCATGTTTAGCGTACGCGACGATCTGGTCCGAGGCAGTACCGCCGGTACTGGTGTATTAGGGGTTCGCGCATCGCAACAATTGACCGGTAATTCACAAATACTGAACGATGTGATGAACGGTGATGAATTCATAAACATAATAAACGCGTTTACGAATATAACCAATACCACATTTACGTTGGTAGATATCGCCGAGTACATTACTATGTTTCAGAAATCGACGATTTTATCGAATGTGATGGACACGTTTGGCGCGGAATCGTCAGCGTTGACTTGTCTACGAGCGTTTGTCCAATCAAAAGAACCGATTATCGATCGTATGTTCATATCGCGATTTTTAGCTTTGTGTAATGTAAAAATTTCGTTGACACCCACCCGATATACTTCGGTAAATTCTATAGTAGCCAATGTTACGTGCAAACGGACGGTACCGTCTAAACAATTGTCAGTTTCGTCGGCAAAGACCATGGTGGACGCTTTAAAACGCGATATGCAAAACATGGAAACTTATACGGTTCTACAAAACCCACTTAGAGTACCGGTTAAAATAAAATTCACTCAAGAATTAATGGACCAGCTGATTAATGCAAATGCAGATTTATCTCGAGCCATTGAAGAGGGCAATCGTCGACATAATGTCGAAGTAGCATCGTACAATAAACGAAAAACGACTGCGGATTAATAATAATAATAATAGTGTGTGTATTTTATTAGTATATATGTATATATATATATATATATATATATATTTATTTTATACATACAACTTGGAACAGATTTTTAATTTTAAAAATGTAACAATAACAATTTTATATTTAAATATAAAAAATGGTATTTATTCCGGGTCGAGACATTTTGCTTTGTCGGTTATTGTTTACATTCGCTAATAACGTCCCATTTATATAAATAAAATTATGAATTATAATGTATATCTTTTGCAAATACATGTATTTATATTGTTTTTTGTTTGCGGCTTATGTTTGTGCGTATCTATATACATTTAACTTTGTTGCGCGTTTCTATATATGTATGCGCGCATGGAGCTCTGCACGCGTGCGCGTAGTAGATCGCGTATTTTGTGTTACTTTGGAAGGTACGTATTTCGTCTCAGACGTACGTATCGGACGACCCGTCGTGTTTGGTTAGTTTTTTTGCTTATAATATTTTGTCATCTTTCAACAAACATGTCGATCAAAACGTCTGAAGTGTATTTAGCCGGACCGACTGGCGTTGGGAAAACGACGATACTCGATAAAATCATAAATTTGTATCCTAATATCGAAGTCTCGTTCGTTATGTATTCGGCTTTATATGCAAATAGCTTGAATCACGATATCGCTTCACGGCAATTGTTAAAACGTACGGGTACTGGTGTTTTCGAACATTCTGTGATTTGTCCAATTCTCTATGAACATGTTCGTAAAAACTGTCAACAGGTCGCTATCAGTTACAACGTTGTAAAAAGTTTAAAAATTGTAACGGAAATGACGTATCGTTCGATTTCTTTTGAATTCGGCGTATGCTATTACGCGTATTATAGAAAATTCAAGGATGTTTTTGCAGACAGTTCGTTAGATATTTTGGAAAAATTGAAAAACACATTTATACTGATCGATTTGACCGAAGATTACTACGAACGATATCACCAACGATTGAGCACGAGTTACAATGGGATCGATGTACATACGGACGTTTATTTGTACATGCAAATCATCGCGTATTTTGCACTTGGAAGTTTGCTCGTCGAAAAGTTTAACGATTATAACAATATTTATATCAAAAAAGACCCTAACGATGATGGATTATTCCGGGGACGTGATTTTGGAATATTCAACAACATGCCAGCACGCGTGAACTTTGTCGACGCTCCGTTCAACGAACGTTTCACAACGACCATGGCCAGAGGTCCATGTCCAGCATAATTGTAAAATCTATTTCAATATAATTTTTTTTGGTTTTACCGATTCTGTATTTTATTATAGACTGTAGTGATGTTTGAATTTTTTATTATACGCACAAAAACCCTATGTATTTTATTTCTTAAATATAAATCGATGACGTTATATAGAAAACGTCATTGTATGCACTGTGCACAGTATAATGTCTACATCGTTTTTATTAACCGTAGATAGTAACCTGTCTAGATTCGCTCAAAATGTAGTCGATCGTATAACTAGATATCGATTGATGGACGAAAGTGTTATAGACTCGGTGCCATCGACATTACCGAATGACGGTGGCAACGAGATTTCTGCAACGGTAAATAGATGTACGTTTGTACCCAAAACGGTGTGCACATTAAAGAATCGGTGGCAAAAAAATATCATCGATTTGTTCGTTAGTGTAAAAAATCAACATAAATATTCTGATATAGTGTTATACGATACACCGGTTTCCCATGAATTCAAAACCAAAGTCGATAATCGTATTATCGAGACTGTTGACGAATCGCCGTTTACGGGATTGGAACAGTGTTTAAAACGTAATCGTATGTCGTTTGTGTATATCGACGCTCGTTATGAATACGAGTTTATAGCGAAACGTTTACGGGATATACATGGCAATCGGTGCACGATAATCGTTAATAAACAATCGCAAAATCATAAACCTATGAAATTGGATGTAGACTATTTGATATTGTTGAACGACAATAATGCGAACGATGATCATATAATTAAATTTATTGCATTTTTGTTGAAATCTTATCAAAAGTTCGGAAAAATAATAGACGTGTCTTTGGGTAAAGATTCCAAAACGGCGATGCGTACAAAAAGCACGGTTCATTGTAACGTCTATGATTTCATAAACGGTTCCGATCAATATTATAATAATGTCAAATTGTGTTACGATTGTATTACTCAAAAATACGAATAATATAATAATATACATGTATATCTATACACGTACATTTTACAACATTGTGTTGTACGGTTTCTTTATTGTCCGATGACAGAATATCATTCGTTTAAACCACGGTATATTATAGAGGTATTAGCACGGACCTATGTATGCAATGTTACAGTATGTCCGTTCGTTTGTGCCTAGTTCAGTACTGATTGAGTAGAGCGCGCTGCAGCCATTTACCCCTATTTTTACTGTTGAGAATGTGAGAATAACAATAAATTATATGCATACCTACCTTACTTACTAGATTCTTAATTTTATTTCACTAATTTTTTAATTCATTATTACAGCTGTATAAAGGCCTTTTAACTGTTTTTATGATAATAATGTGGTAAAGATAATAATATATTAAACCATAAATTAAAATATAATGTTTTTAGTATGGTACACATTATTATTATTTATTATAGAAGCATAGAACATAAGTTATAGATAATTATTACTAATTTAAGGATACATCTAGATTATAGACTAAATTAAATAACTAAAAATTGTTTCTCTGAAAATCAAAACAAAATTATAAAAGTAGTAGGTAGTACAATTTTAGGTATTTTTAATTTATTATAATAAGGAAATTAAAAATTCAAGTCTGTGTTGTGGTTGTATGGAATTTAAGTTTTAGCAAACAATTTTTCATATCATTCTTGTTAATAGCTAGTGCTGATATGTAATTTTATGATTGGTAGACTTTGGCTTCTTTCTTCTTACTTTTGCTTTTTTTTTTTTGGTTCCTATTTTGCTCTCTTTCATAGTGTCTCATCCTCATTCTTATATAATAGTGAAGACAGTTTCAGGATCTGAGTGTAATGACAATTCTATAGAAGCAATTATTTTAAAATGTTGCATTTTAAACAAAGACCATGATAAATTCGGAAGCTCCAACAATTCAACTGAATTCCAAGCACTAAATTGATTTATACTCTGAGCCACTGTAGAAGTCTCAAGTTCACAGTCGAATAACATTTCATGGGGAGTTTGATATGAACCTTAAAGCCATAAAAGTAACCATAAATATTTATATACATTTATTAGTTAAATGGTATAGGTATACTATATATAATTATATTACAAAATATTTATATAAATATTTACTTATTACATAATATGTACCTACATTATATTATGTATCACTTATGAACAAGCAGAGTAATTAAAAATATATTTTTTTTAATAGTTTAAAATTTAAACCATCCAATAAAAAGCATTAAGTAAATACCAAAAAATTAAAAATTAAATATATTTTTGCAAAGTTATAGGAAAATTTAGCTATACAATTACTTAAAATACTTCCAAATAATTGTTTATAAAAATTATGTAAGAGTATTTAAATACAATTAATGGATAAGCTCAAATTAAAACTTAAAAGTTCCTATTCAGCAAATACAAAATTAAGTATTTATATACACATGTTAAATATAATATATGAATACTTTTAGTTAAATACTTTACAGACTACAGTTCTGTGTTTACAAGCATGATCACAATATTTACTTAACATACTTTGAATTATTTGAGTATCACATGCCAACAAACGCTTTTTAGGACTTTTCCTTGTCTTAGGTATACTTTTTAAGCATGACTTTGGTATATCAGGAAATATTGTTGGAATCGCCCCTTCCTTTAACCTTGGTTTTTTCAATGCATACTATAAAAATTTAAAAATGTGTAAAATAAATAATATTAAAAAAAAAAAAAATACATAATATTATCTAAATTATTTTACATTTACTTTTTTAGGTGTTCACAGATCACATACACATTTTTATGGGAAATTTTCCTTAAAATTAATATAGTTAAGTAAATGTATTATAAATGCTTGAAATACCTTTATGTGTCCAGAAGTCCATTCTCTGATAATTTGATTTGGTTCAAAATGCTTGGAGCAAACAGCTGAATTTGCCATCAACTCACGTTCACGTTTAGGTATTATATTCTTCCATTTTATAAACATGAGTGGTTCTTTAGGAACTCCAAATAAAGAAAACTAATACAAATCAATAAAAAGTTAGAAGTCTGCAAGTCTATCATCTTTACAAGTTGAACAGAGACAAGACAAAATTAAATATAAAATAAATACACACCTTGTCTTTGTTAGAAGCATATCCGGTTTTACAATTCACAATAAAACATTTGACCATTGTTACATTAATTTGCAATATATATAATATATATATATTTACAATATACAAATATATTTCAAATAATATAATAAAGAATGAAATATGAAATATTCAGTAACTACCACTTGATTATCACTAAGTAAATAAAGAAAATTGTAAAATGTAAGATTTTGTTGATGGTTACAATCACGGTATATTTAGCCGGACAAGGGGAAAAAGACTACAACGCGCTCTGTTGGTTTGTCAATCAATTGAACACATTTTAGCAGACACAATACGTAGTCCGTGCTAATACCTCTATAATATACCGTGGTTTAAACGATGATGTGAGTGTATATATATCATCATCAACGCCAGTGACTACGTGTTTTGTATAAACTACGTTGGCGTTTTTTTTTGATTATACTTAAAATAATGAACTGTGTAAAAGGTTAAACAAAAAAAAGCCCGAAGCTGTTTCAGTGTTGGAATTAAAAATTTACATACACTAATTAAATAAAAATAAAATTTTATTTGATTATTCTTTTTGTTTTCTACTTTTAGTGATGTTGAACGTTTTATAATAAGATTTTCCATTATCCATCCACGAGACTCCTATGCTTTTGTTATCGTCGATCTCAAGCATACGGGCAAGCTGTCCTATTCGAATTCGTTCTTCTCGCGAGACGTGTACTTCCACAGCGCCGATTTTATCCGTCTTACTCTGTTGACCGCGGTTTTAGCGCCGATTAACGCTTTGTCGCCGATTGCGCTCTGTCAATACGACTTTGCGAATTTCAAACCCGATGTTCATTCTAAATTATACAATTGGGTGGATTATGGTATATTATTATCGATGGCGTTGAATAGACCCACGGAACAGACGTCGAGACAGCATTTCCGGGAATACACCACTTCTCTCATATCCATGCTGTTCGTGACACTGAGAGACGGTCGTCCGCCGAAAAATTGGCCGAGCGAAACGTCGAAAGATATGTTTTCCAATAGAAACGAATTCCGTAAATTGTGCGTAAACTGGCTCGAGGTTATGCGATTGAGGGAACATTTCAAATTATCATGTTCGTATTTTATAGAACTCGACGATGGTTCTAGGATTTCAGTTAAAAATAACATTACATCGGATTATGATGATGATCTATATATATACTATATATTATTTGTTATTGAATTATTAAATCATTCGATTCAAAGAGCAATTCGCTGAACCGAGGCACGCACACGGCTCGAATACGTATAGTTTCCGTAGACGGTACTAGTGTTTTCAACGGATACTTATCGTCACATTTACCGTTTTCATATTTGGGATAAGAACGTCTATAATCGACATCTGTATGACCATATTTTACAATGATATTGGGTTCGCGTATGTCGTTTGGCTGTATGCCCTGATCTATACTCAGACATTGCAACTCTATCGATCCGAATTGACTGTTTCCTTGTAGATACGCGACAACTCCGTGTTTCGGATCGCATGTATTCTTAGTAGAATCTATTGTAAAGTTTAAAGTGTTGACGCATATACCGTTTCTGTGGAAAAAAGAATCCGGCCCACGAAACACGGATGAACATAACGCGTCGCTCATAGAGTAAACCATCTCTGTATTGCAATCGCGTTTCAACGAGTTCGCAATGGTAAAAGTCGAAGGCAGACTTCGCGTTTCGCGTTCCAACATATCGTTTCTTTCCTTTTCCCGATCCTCGGGCGACAATAAAATATCAGATTTAAGCATCACAACAACGACGCACATTATTATAAATATTATAGAAAATAAAATGAAATATACAGTTTTATTTTGTAATGGATATTCTTTATTATTAATAAACATGATGATTATGATTCAATAAAATAAAATAATATTTCTCTATATTATTTAATAAATACAATTATTAATACATATTCTTTCTACAATAAATAGTTTCGTTATTTTGTAAAAAATCTATACACTGTCCGGCGAGAATGTTATAATTGTAAAGTTCCTCGATGCTATGCTTTTTCTCAACCGACAATTTATCCACAAATTCATACGTTTTTTCTTCGTTTTCATCCTTCAAAACGCGCATCAATCTGATGAAATCTTCTTCCGTGAAAAGTGTATCTGCATCCAGTGAACACGATTGCTGATTGTTGTTCACGTCTTTATACAACATTATTTTAAATTTATCGTAGACACTTTCCAATAGTTGTTTAGATACATCATCGTTACATACATACATACAATATGAACGAAACACTTCATAATTTGTGTTTATATCGTAGTCTGTTATTTTCTTGAAAGCAACCAACTGCCAAGCGAAATAACCGTATAACACGATCGATAGGTGATCGATGAATTCTAAATGCAATCCGGGATATTCGCATTCTATACTGATTTCCGCATCGTAATCGGTATGTTTTTCAGCAGCCCGACAATTGGACAGACGAATAGAAACGCGTAATACAACAAAATTATCAAATTTGTAATAAGTGTCTATAGAGATTTTTGTTTTGGTGTCTTTGGTAATGTTCTTGCCGACAATATCGCATTCTTGGTAATTGTATTTAGGAATTATATACTCAAAAGATCGCTTGATGATGAAGGTGCGGAACGCAGAAGACGACTTTAGTTTATACTTGTCGTAAATATGCTTGACGTTAATGCTATCGCAATTGTACAAATTATGTAAATCTAATTTCTCTGATAAATCAGTTATGCCATAATCTTTGCGCAAAATTATACGAAAACCCATCAACAGGTCGTAATAAATATAAGATTTTCGTATACATAATAAAGAATTTTCGTGTTGTTCGAACGAAGATGACAAACATCTAAATTTAAATTTTTTTACAAAAGAACTGGTGGCTTCCAGCTCGTTTCCATTCGGAAAGAACGGAGTGAAAGATCTATAATTGAATATATCGTTCATATTAATTATATCCATATCAGTCAACTTGGTCTTTGAGTCTTCGTCCAAATCTGCGTTAGAAATAATCATTCTCGCGATTTTTGCAACATTCAACGTGTCGTAAACGCACATCTCTTTACACCCGAGTGATTTATTTTTATTTTTACGCATTTTCGCGTACATGAATAATCGACAAATAATATAATTAGTGTAATTGTTGAACCGTTTGTAAGACAAAGCCGTTAGCAATGGCGAATAGTTGAAAAAACGATCAATAACAAACACTGATTTGACAAAAGCTTCCTTATTAGTGACGACACCTTTAAGCAAAAATTTTTTCAAATCATTCTCGCTTCTACATACATCCATACGATGCAAATTGGCATTGCATTTAGTATATATAATGATATCTTTCATTATTTTTCCTGCAATTTCATACACATCCGAATTTTTAAAGTCTTTCAATCTCTTTACAATATTTTTAAACAAGAAATCCGATGAAACATACGATTGATTATTTCTAATAGGATTAGCGTCAGCATCGGTAGCGACAATATTGTTGTCGTTGTCCGTAGTAGTGACAGCAGTAGTAGTAGAAGCAACAGCATCAGCAGTAGTAGTATTAGTAGCAGCAGCAGTAGTAGTAGTATCGGCAATGCTAGCAGCTATGGATTCTCTCATATTTTCAATGTATGACGGTACTATTAATTCCATTTCCGACATTTTCGCGATGATTCGTGATAAATCAGAATTGATGGAATCGAACGATGCCGATACGTATGACTATTTCGGAACGAGAAATAGAACGGTATGTTGAATTGCAACCAATCTTGAGAGAACACGCGCGCACAAGGTACTGAATCACCACCGACGTTTTCCCTTGTATTTATATATTAACATCTGTATCAATAAATATATAGATATATATATTATGACTATGATTAAGATATACGCTTTAATGCTGGTGATATGTATTGTAATTTTATTTATAACATATTATATACAATATAAGAAAACAACGAGCGATCTTTCGGAATTGTACGCGATTTTGCAATCCGAAGACCCGATGATCACGGCTTTTAGTCTAGGATGGATAGAGTCTAAAGGTTTGTATAAAAACGTTTACCCGAGTTCCGATGGTAATGGGAATTTGACATTTCAAGTCAAATACGAAACGTTTCCCATCGACAAATACGGAACACCGATACGATTGAGTGACGGACACGGAACGGTTTATGAGACCAAAGATGGTTTTATGATTGAAGGGATAAACAACAACGCATCGTTCCCCTGTCCGGACGAATTTTTCGGCAAGACTTGTAAATTGAAACCGTTGTGTGGTGTCGATGATTTAGGTAAAAACAAGCGTATACATTTCGCGCAATTCCAATACTTGAATATTTACAATTACCGTCACGATAAAAACACGTTGTATAGAAATTCTGGTAAAAAATATCACGATCGACTTTACGCTCATTGTTTGGATCGTCGAGTCGATCAATACAGAAACAACAATTATCCCAGAGACATTTACACGAAGCATTTCAACGAGATATACGAAAACATCGGAGTCGATGGTGATTACGTTATTAAATCTTGCGATCAGCATCGCGTAATTTCAAAAGAATCACCATCCGTATCCAGTGATCCATATAAATGCGTTCCGTATGACTTTTGTTCTGAAAAACCATTCGGATTTATGCATCACGAAATAATTAGAGAAAATCAAAGCCCGTTGCAAGACGATGAATATTATCGCTGTCGTTTGGCAACAGCGAGTTGGTAAAATTTTTGGAAAAAACAGTTTTCAGCGATAGTAATTCCAGTTGCGTCGATGATATAAATTGTTTCAAAATGGGATTTATAAGAATACTAGTGGATGAAAATAGATATTTACAGTGTACAAACGACACGGGCACGATCGTCGAATGTGAAAACGGAACGAAAATAATCGAAAACGTAGTGTCTTGCAAACAGCATAAAAAATGCGTGTCGTCCGAAGCACGTACACAGACACGTACGTCTCTTTTATCAAGAGTCGGACTTTATGCGTGCCATCGCAAACGGAACCCGGAGAAATGGAATCCGAGTTTTTGAATTGCGATTTTGGAGTAACCAAGCGTACCATAAAGTCTGTATATGGTGATGACAAAACTATAACAAACGTGTTCACTTATCCGATGTGGCCAAAGAGTATAGTCGATAGGGATAATAATCGATGCATAGACGTGGAGAACATGGAAAAAGATCCGCCCGAAACGCAACAGACATCGGTGCACGTGCCAAATGCGGAACTACGAGACTACAAAATCATGATCAATCAAAAAGAAGCCTATCTGTTCGATTTACTCAATCGATCGTACCGTTGTCCTCGGGACTCTTAAGCATGCATAGATTATGTTCGAAATATAATATTCAAGTTGCCGGAATACGAGCCCACGCTCGACGTGTACGAGTTTAATTGGATAGATCCCAGTCTTACGTGTTTTCAAGAAAAAGACATAAAACCCCTTAGTACTATTATATTTAGAATCTGTTGGTCCGGAAAACAAGATGGTCCGTATTTTACTATGGAATCTATAGATCTGGATGTCGAGAAAAAAACAAACGCATACGTGATGTCGTGTAATAAAAAGCAAGAGAGTTCGTGGTCGGAACCGTATAAAGATTTTAAATATTCGCATAAACCGGTATTGGGTTTGTATTTGGTCGTCGAGGAAGGTTCGATGCTAAATGTGGATGCATTCGGTATTACCGACGAAGAATTCGTCTATGACGAACTAAACGTACCCGGATTTTATATGAAAACGGCGTGGCCAAAGAGCGCCAAACGAAAATCCAAACCCGACAATGCGGAATTTGATGTTCCGTGTTTTGTCATTCACGAAGTTAGAAAATCAAAAATCATGAACGTTTGGGATTTGATTAGTCGTTTGGTCGACGAATTGCCAGAATGGTTTATAAAATCACCCGACGGTAGTGTTTCGTTTAAAGATAATCGGCACGCTCACGACATACGAGTCATGGATAAAAACAAAACGCAATTGTTTCTTCCGACTTTTCTACTCGCGCCCGTTCGCGTATTACCCTGTACTTGATGATGATGATGATAATAATGATAAATAATAAAATACATTATATATATATATTTAAAATTTATTTTAAATAAATAAACATAGTTTTAGGATTAGAAAATATAAATGATTTTACATCAAATAATTCGGGAAATAGTTTTCTCTTCAAAACAATACTATAATCCGTAGATCGATTAGAAATTTTGATAGAATAATCGATATACGAGCACAAACCAGCGTCATCGATGAACAGAGTTAATGGATTCTCAACAAAGCCACCTGGTATTTCGGAAACGTTCAATGTTCCAAACAGTCGTAAAGAACCACCACCACCGTTTTTGGTATAATGCTTTAACAAAAAGGTGTGTAGTCTTTTTGTTTCTCCATCGGTGCCATCGATGTTGCTGCTATTGCTGTTGTTGCTGCTGCTGTATTCATATTTCAATGGTTTGTCTTTGTGATTTCCCAACTCCGAAAAATATCTAAACTCGAACGATTCTATTGTTTTATTATCCGAATTCACCCAATTGTTTATATGTCCGTTGATGAATTTATATATATTTTCGAATCGCCACATCTTTTTGTATTTAAATCACAACCATCGGTATTGATTTCATAAACATTTATAAACGTGTTTATTCCCGAAGTATTGATCATTGGTGTCGATGAAAAAGACGACGTTGTAGTCGTTGTCATTGTTGTAGTCGCTGTTGAAAATGATGATGATTCTTTTTGAAAAGATTTACAATCATATACATCGATGAATCCAACCGTACGCATATTATATTCTTTATTATATAGTTATAACAACAACGATGTCTACTAAACTCACTCTAATAGCACACGATAATTTGTATGAAAAAATCAAATGTCTAAAGACGCGTCTCGTGTCGTCCACGCGGTTCGACAGATTTTTTTCTCATTCTCATATTTCTTATAAGCCCGTAGGCGCGTATTTGGCTCGAGGTAGGGATTTATCTCGTAAAAATTTATTACTTGAACGTTATTACAACAATGCCGATAAACGTGACTCACGCGCGGAAAGTGATTACGCAAATGCCTATGTGCCTGATAAAGGATGTGTGTTATCCAGTGTTTCGAAAGAATTTAGAGGACTGCGTTTGGTATTGTGGCCAAACAATAAAGAATTACGAATAAACGGAATTAGTGTGGTATATGTCGATCCCAATTGTACGACTGATTTGCTAAAAGGCGTAAATCGTATTATAGAATGGGCTAAAAAATGGAAAATGTGCAACGCGTATCATAATATTCCAGTGAAAAATGTCTCGTGTTGCGTTTTCGATCTAGACGATACTCTTATAAGCAATAGCGATGGTGATGTGTTATTGAAACACTCTATGGACACGCTAAATATGGCTCGCGTTAATTTTACATATGTGATTTTATTCAGTCACGGAGACGAATCGCACGTTTACGGCAACATATGTACTAAATTATTCGAATTTGATTATATATTAAATTACGATAAAGACAAACAGCCTAGAAACATTAAAAATATACTATATCTTTATAATGTATTACCCAAAAATGAATATATAAATTATTCGGTACTGATAGACAATTCGGCATATAATTGGTCGTCGGAATACGATGATATAATCATACCGGCTCGCGGTAATTAATCCACTCTACCGATATCACAAGCTCTGGAAGACATTGTTGTGTCCAAACGATGTTTCGATTGGACGACCTGTTCTACGGACGTTTCATTTTTGGAAGACATGAAAAATGAAAAGTTCCAACGACGCGCGAGAAAACTATTAAAAGACCATGATTATCTAATAAACGTCATGATCCGAGACGAAGAACAAAATTATAGTTATTGTTAAAAAAAAAAACATTAAAACGTTACGTTAAGAGGTATGTCATAAACACTAGTGTCCAATTTAAAATCATAACCTACATATTTTTTATTTTCGTTATGATACACTCGTATAAGAACCAATCCGAATGGCTTTAGCTTGCAGTCTCTCACGTAAATCGTCGTCTTTACGTATCTCAATTCATTTATTGGATATATTTTTCTTATTCTCTTATAAATATAAATAATAAATATATATATAAATACTGATATTTCGATTTTAGATCGTTCACCATTGCTGATGATTCGTTAAGTTTACACGTGTCTGCTACCACATACTCTACGTTTCTTTTATTCCTACACGAAGCCTTTTATTCGTTTGAAGTATTGCCAATACGAGCCGTCGTGCGCGCATGAGATTCGATTATTTGTTTAGCGTAACCGATGCGTACCGAAAATGGCTTTTCCAAAAGAGTCTCTTTACCGAAAGCTAAAACATCTACGATCACTTTATACACATCCCGATAACCCACAAAAGACTTTGCTCTTCACGATCGCGTGTTATCATTGATTTTAGGTAAAATCACAGCTTCGAACGTAGCGTCAATGTCCAGACGCATAAACGGCAAAACGCTCATAAAGTACAACTGTTCGCCGTATCTGTTGTAAAATTTGAAATCCATATTCGCGATGCAGTTGCCAATGGCATACACGCACATGTAATACGGCTGAACGTAAATATTATTTTTCGAATATTTCGTTATAGAATGTTTGTACAAATCCACTTCTCTGGCTACGTCTATCTTGGTTATTTTGGGCCTGGGTTTTATGACGTGTCGCAACACTTGTTGCGATAGATAAATACTAAGATCCACGTTTCCGCGTCCGTGTTTGACGTTTTTAATGAGATCGTAGAATTGTAAAAAAGCTGTGGGAGCGTCAATTTTTGTACCGTATACTAGTTTTACATTTCTAGACGCTTGCATGTAATCCGGTAATAAGTAAGACGTTACATTCGACAAAAACGACATGTACTGAATCGTCCTGAGATTGTGTATTATTATTTGATCGATCGTTGAACATTTTGAAAATATTTTATCATAAGTTTTCTTGTTGCGTATACTATTGAGATGATTCTTTTTACCGGACGCTTTCACGCAGTATCGACCATCGATGTACGGATCATTTTTAACGTTTTCGGCGTTTATTTTCGTGTCGTATTCGTGCATCAACGAAATAAGACCGTAAAGAGTTAGGGTGTCGTTTACGTGTATCTGTTTGAAATTATAATTTTTATATTGCGGTATTTTATTGTTTGGTAATATTTCATAATTTCTATCGTAACGTTCCAGATAAATCGTCGGTTTTAAATCGCAATCTAAAATATCAGAATCATCATTAACATCATCATTACTACTACTACCACCACTACCATCACAATTACGATTATTTGTAATTTCATTAAAAAAATTCATAGATGCTTTTTGTCTAATTCTCCACAATTCTTCTTTTTTAATAAAATCCACTATTAAAGTATTTTGTTCGTTTATAATTTCTTTATTATTATCGTTATTGTCTTTTGAATTTTTCATTCTTTTCACTCGGTTGGTGATGTTTAACAATTCTTTTTCAACATCGTCGTCGTCATCATCGGTATTGCTGTGTCTATCGGAACGCAAACTTCTTTTGACGCTCTTATTATATTCTATATGAACAGACGACTCGTTTTTGGTATTTTCAGTTTGACGTTGGTTCTCGATCCGGTAGTTTGCGTTATTGCTATTTACCGTAAAATTATTACAATAATTTTTTTCACAGTCTTCATCGTCGTTGTCGCTGTCGTTGTCTATAGAAAACGTATCGGATTTAATGTTTTTAACGATATTGTCTAGTATAAATAACAACGAATATATGTCCGTTTGGTGAAACGATCTAATTATTTCCCATAATATATATTTCGACGGTTCGTAATTCGTTAAAAGACACGACAATCTATTTAAAGTTAACGGTATGTTTTTCTTAAAATCACAATTGTTGTCTTTGTCGACAAACATCTCTAAAACCGACATCGGTCATGCCTCGGACTTTGAGTACTATTTAATTACGGATTGTGAGTGCTACAAAATGTATACACCGAGGAAAAATTTCATAGAAAATGTTTTAAAACGACGCGATTCGTACATGGCGTGTCTTGCTTACAATTCCACGAACAAGAAACGCAAACGCATAAAACACAGATGCGTATTCGTTATATTTGGAACGTATCAAGATTATCTTATACGCGGAGAACTCGAGGTTCGAGAATCGCGTATATTATGGGGATCGTTCATACGTTTGGGTAATCTGGAGACATACAATATATTTTCCACTTTTAATTCTTTATCCACGCACGTCTACAGTACGGATTTAAATTTAATTGTAGAAATATATTTTTACGTCGACGACAAGGGTGTAGAATTGAGATACCATAAAGGAGTGGTGCATGTCGTATACAACAAGCAAAATTATTACAGTAACGATGATCCCGCAACATGGATATCTCTGTTGAATCGAGCGAATCCTTATACGCGCGACATTAGCGGATCCGAGTATATAAAACTCTTCAACGCCATGCTGTGTTACGATTACGATATGAACGACTTGAAAAATCGTCAATTTTTAACCTACACCACTATATTAAACAGAGTAATCTGTAGCGGTTTGTCCAAAAAGAATAGCACAATCACGAATGTGCGAGAATTATTTGAAAATGGAAATATTTTCAATTTACTGAGCAAAAAATCAGTGGTGAACAATGAAACTGTGAATAAATCTTATCCTCAGTCGTATAGTAACAATATAGACAATGGTCGTAGTAATAAAATTTGTGATTTAATAACTACCGTGAAAAGAACTATGAACGATGCTTTTAAAAATTCGGAAGCTTTGCGTTTTCCCGAAGATGGTATCGGTATAATATGCCCGATCAGCGTGAAGGATTTAAAAGACGCCGGCGAACAGAACGTATTGGCGGATTATGTGTTAGTTAGCGAAAGCGAAAACGACTTGCATGTTTACGAATACTTGCAATCCATATCGATAAGTCCGGAGAAATTGGAAAATTTTAAAATATCCGCACTGAAGAATGCAATGTTGAATAGAAAATACGAACCTCCTGTAAAAAAAATTAAATTATCAAAAGACGATGTCTTACGCGAGGCTGTTGAAAACGTTGTACACGGCTGTGCTGGTAGTTATAATGATGATGATGATGATGATGATATAAAAAATGACAACGACACCGACGACGGCACCGAAGATTCGGAAGACGAGTACGAAGGGTATAAAACAACACATAATAACACTATCGAAGATAAAATGAAAAAAATACCAGTAACGATCGTTTTAAATGAATTTCTATGCGGCATTGTTGTTTTTTGGTCATTCGATGTTTTATTGAGAATAAAAAAGAGATTTCCACACGCGACTACATTATATTTTTATCCATACGTGTTTGTCATTACAAAATCTTGTATACCTTTAAAATACCACGAAGATCACGACGCTTATTTTTCCCCTGCCGAAATAACCGAATACAAACTGACTTTTCCGAGTGCTTCGAATTATAGTTACACGTGGAAACATTTAAACCCCTGGGCGAGACACATGAATCCTTCCGCCAAATCTACGGTCAGCATTAACAATATAAAAGGAAGCGTGGCCAATGTAGAATCTCAATTTCAATACAATTGCATGTTGTATTCTTTGGGCATCACTTGTTATATCAATATAAACGACAATAAACGCAAAGAGATATTCGAGTCGGCGATTGTCGATACGGGAATCGCACCGTACACGATGTTTTTCGATAGAATAAAACAAATGGGCTTCGTAACCGACAACATACCGATTATAAAAGACACGGATCCGTGTCGCGCCGTCGAATCTCTGAGGCGTATGTATGATTTTGAAAAATTAAATTATCGCTGTTGCAAGCGTAAGCCAGAGTCGTACGATAGATATTTTGATGTGAATTTAAAGGAAAAGGCCGACCGATATATAAACATGATCATCGAAAACGACAATAAAGAATACTCGGTGTTCAATATGCGAGTATGGGCTTGTTTTGGAAATATGTACGGCAATTGCATAGAAGACGGCGTAGTCGTGGATTCTACGTTTGCAAAGCTGGTGCCCGATACCGTTTACAACGCGTGCATCGGCGTCAGTTTCATTTCGAAAACCAATAAAAATAATTGTATATTCGTCCCTATACGCGAAAAAAAACAATCTAAAGATCCGTTCATTGGTTATGTCATTACCGAAGAAGAAATATCCATAAGACACAGTCGTCATTGTTACATATTAAAAGGCGTTATAGGCAATCATTGTTATTATTTGATACATTTCAATCCAAAGACAAATCTTAAGTATTCGGACTTGAGCGTAGAACACGTCAAACACAACAAGACTTTGATGGTTTTGATAAAGGGTAAGCATTACGGACGTTTCGGTCTCGGTTCCAAAATCGCAAATTCTTTTGGACAGAAAAATATTATAAGTAAAATCGAAGACATTCGGTCGTGCGAAAAGATGCACGGTGTGACGCGCGACGGTCGGAAGGTATTTCCGCAAATAGTCTATAGCGACGTGTCGATCATCAGCAGAGACCAGAGTAGTCAGTATGCCGCGGCGTTGCGATCTCCCGATCTCGCGTTTGGCCCCAACGGAGAAATAATATTCCCATTGGACATTATAATACACACGCTTCATCCTTACACAAACAATCATCCGTTCGTCACCAGATCCGACACGTTCGCCAACTCCAATGGATTCGAGACTCAGGGATTGGCTCAAACGAATTTTCTACTGCGAATGAATAAAAACGTACAGAAACAAGCGTTGAACATCATAGGGCTTCATGGTTTTGAAATAATAGACGCTAGGTATGTATGCTCATACGTATGTGTATTTCTTTTTTTATTTTTTAAAAAAAATTGATATTTTTCTAGCGGAGAATATCTAGAGTTTTACAAGCAGAAAGACAATAATATATTGTCGGAAGAGGCGGAGGTCGTTGTGGTGAAAAATCGCAACACCGACACTGAAGAAATCACAAATAAAGACGACTACGACGACGCCGATGCCGCTGATGTTCCTACGAAACGCAAGCTATACAACGATCGTAGTATGTGAGTCTTACGATTTGTACAAACGCATCAGCAATACGAACGAATCGTTTAACGTTATTTTGTCTTTATAATCATCGCCTTTTAAATTGTATTTACTTCGATATATGTACATTAAATTAGAATAGTATATCCATATGAAAAATATTATAAATATCCATATAAAAGACGATATTATTATAGAAATAGAATTATAAACCAATTTATTCATCGTAAGCACTGTGAAATGGAAGATTTTTTACAATCCAAGTCCGATGCTACGTCGTTGAGTGTGGATGTTTTGGACAAGAGCAAACAAACCGATTCGTTCTTCACTATTTTAACGCAAAAAAGTCGCAAATTAACGCCACTCGAGAAACTAATGAACATCTCGGAATATAAAAAAATATATAAAGACATGTCGGTTTCCGCGTTCAATTCCTTCGAAGAATTATCAACCTACGGAGTAATAGTGGACGTGTTGGACAATGGTTTTTTAAAAATCAATCGCAAGCGACTGCGTAGATTGAATTATGTTTTAGTGTTTATACGCGAAAGCGTTCAGTTCATGTCTCTATACGACTATAGTAATAGTAAAAATTTACCAATTTACGATTGTAATTATATACCGATTTCTTGTATACAATCTTATAATTTGATAAAAATAAAAAAAAATATTTCAGGTCCTAAATAAAGCTATTGTAAAGACTACCATTATTACGAAAATAAATATTAATAAACTTATTAACCAAAATGTGTTTTCTTTTTTCATCACCACCACCAATATGAGAGACGCTAGAGATTGGCTACATACCGTATGGATATATTTTATCTTTATTATTTTGAGCTTGAATAAGTAATGATTTGCTGGCGTCCACGATCGATCGGGTCTTTTTTTTCGACGGACCGCCGCCATCATAGTTGTCCACGTAAGATCTGGGTACGTTATAAGTCTGAGGTCAGGATTTGTATTCTTTGATTATATCGGCATTGCTGCTCGTCGTGTTTTTGGGACTATACACGCCGGATTCGTCCTCTTTATTATTATTATAAATAGTGGTGGTCAATGAAATAGCATTGGTGTACACGTCTTTTGGTGTTAGAGAACTCGAGATTTCTACCACTTTATTGTTATTTTTTACTATTGTTTGTAAATTACCATCATTATCGAATCTGACTCGTTTTTTCACCGAACGAGAATCGTTGGTTTTGCGGATGAGCGGTTCTATAACTCTCGATCCACCTTCGAAGAGCATTTTTATAAATTTCTCGACATAACACTACTATTTAAACAACAAGAAAATAATGATTTTGTACTGGGTCTTTTTCATAATTCTCGCTATATCTATGATTGTATTAATAACATTGGTGCAGCTGAATCGGAAAAAATTGATAGTGGGTAATTTTAAAAAGAGATCGTTGGATCGTTTGCGAAAATTCACAACGAACGTAGAGTTTAACGAAAATACCGAAGATTTTAACGTTAAAAATAAATACAATTGTAATATAGTCTACGTGTTTGTAAATTGGACGATCCCACGACTCTGTTTGGCTGCAAAGAGCTAAACGTCAGATGCGAGCATTTTGAAGAAGATAGGATATTCATAAGAGACGACAACAGCGAGTACCCAGTACCGGCCAATGCCGAAAAAAACGAAGGCTACGCGTTGGCTATAAGTTTTAGCGTCGAAGACTGTCATCCGCATCACGGACAAAGAGTGTTGGTCAGTAGTGATGATAAGTCTTATGAATATTTAATGATATGTAGGTGTATCCGAGAAGGATATATCGGCAACGATCATCTTTTAGGCAATTGCACCGTAGTGCGTATTTGTAATGGGAAAGTAAAGGATATAAACGTGCCGTTCGGTGAAATAGAATGTGATTGTAGGAAAACCGAACGCTCTTTGATGCAGAACGGCATCCCGATGTGTAGGACTTTGACGATTTCCGAAGCAAATGATTTGTACAACGACTGGATGTTTCTAATAGAAATACCCAAAGACGCGGTTCTGCTGAACACGAAATACTACAATACGGACGTGCGGTCCAACGTTAAGGTATCTCATCTACTGTCGCCGTGTTCGCACTCGTTGATAAATCCCAGTCAGAAACTTGTGGGTTCTTAGTATTTTAAAGAAAGCATAAACGATTGTGATTTTGGAGAAGGCAACATACCACTACGTCACGGACTACTGGAACCAAACGAAGCGCAAAAACAGAGATCTACAACACGCTCTTACAAAGATCAAATAAAATCATTGGCGCTCTTCGATGCCGCCATACTTGCCGAAATGTACGAAAGCGCTATTATTTCGGATCACATAAAAGCAAATAGACAAATATTGGCGGTAATAACTCGTGTACCTGACTTGATGCGGTACGGTAACGCCATAAAACGCGTGTCTATCGGACCGAACGCTACGTACGGTAAAAAAGGTAACGTTTATATGAGATCCGTGAAAACAGATTCCATGTGTGCTATGTGTGGTTGGGCCAAAGTGATAAAATACAAATGCCACACCAAAGAGTGGTATAGAATATAATCCCGATGACGTTCAGATATACGGCAACAAATTCAAAGTCTACGGAATACAGTATTCGAACGGCGAACAAAAAAACGATAGATTAAATTCTCCGGTGCGCATAGTAGATGAAAAAGCATGGTCTCGATACGTTGAATTGTGCGATTCGTTATAAATTAATTTTTTTCACAACCATCGCGTTCTCCATCGCATCTTTTGTTCATTTTTCTCTAATTCCCACAAACAAATAACATACGAATATAATTATCAGAGCCAACACTCCTAATATATAAGACACGTTCATGTTAACCGGTAACGAATATATCGATAGTTTATTCTTTTCCGATTAATAAACTATAGTTTCCAACGCTGGTGGCAATTTTACCGTAAAATCGGGAAACAGTATGAAATCAGTGTCCAGATCTATATTGTGAAGACGCATTACGGCATTCTGTTGCGAGAATCGTTTGGAAAATATTTCTCTCATAAAATCTCCGTTTATCAAACGTTTAGATATGACATCGGCACGAGTGTAGAAAAAATTCCCATTGTTCGTGGTTCGTCTGACCCATAGTACAGATCGCAATTTGTTAAACTCCTCTTCCGATAATTTCATAATAACAAGTTTTTATTTTCAGATAAGAGACTAATTAAGGTTATCTATATGTTTTTCATACGACATTAACTGTGGAAAAACACGTGCCTCCTGGGCAGAGTGTTTGGATAGAGAGAACGAAAGTGGTTAGTAGTGTTTCGTTACTCTTAAATGTAAATACTATACATGCTGATGTATCGTCTCCAATACGATGTTTCCAGGGCAAAGGAAGAAGAATAAAAAGACCAAATCGATGATCGCGAATAATCGTCGTGAAACCTTATATATGATTAATAATTCGGTATTTGCCATCAAGCATGGTTTTGGCAGAGAGTTTTACAATTATAAGAGTGAGTATCTTTATAGTAAATATTTTATACCTGTATGTCGTTTATTGATGTGATTTTATTTTACACATACACTAGTAAATTCTAATGTAAACGAGAAAAGGAGAAAGAGGAGAGCACCGCTCGACGAAGAAGTCGCGTTAAAGACACCACAACTACGAAAGAATCATACAGATGGTGATTGTCGTCGTCATCATCACGATGATGATGTCTTTGCTAACGATGATGGCGATGGTAATAACAAAACCAACAGCGATGGTGATTGTAATGAAATCGCATCGGTATCGGACAACGGAGAAGTCGCAGATGTCTGCAACAATACCGATATCGTGGATCTCTTCAACAAAACGCCATTGACAAATTTTCCAATAATGATCGATTACGAGTACAATACAGATCGAATAATAAGAGACTTTGATTATTTTTACGATAATATGGAAGAAGAAAAGGAATCATCGGTCGAACCATCGGAAATATTTTACGGTGAGTTGTGATTTAGTATATATCATATATCATTATTTTTTTTATAAATAAGATTTATTTTCCCAGTAGTTTCTACGACCGACAAAGACATCGGGGAGAATTCTAGCGAGAAAAATCGTAGCGAATCGCGATCACTGCAGTCATCGCAATCGTTGTCGCAGCAACAGCAACAACTACTACTACAGCAGGATCCAGTTTCTACGATTGTGGATATAGCTAAAAAAAATAAACTATTGGAGAGAGAGCAGGAAAAGGCTGGTGTATCGAAGGAAAAAGAAGAGGGATATATGAGTGAGAGTGTGGAGAGAGATGAGCAAAAGTGTGGAAAAAAGAAACTCCGCACTCCGGATTCATATGACGATGGTGATTGCAACAATAATCATTTAAAAAACAAGCGTGAAAAAAAAATTAAAAGTAAATATAACAGCGGTAATGTAGAGATTGTTTGCCGTAACGAGAATAATAGGAGTAGTAGTAGTATTAGCAGTAGTGCTCTTGAATGTGATTTGATCGATATCGATACTGCTATTGTCGGTGGTGATTCTCCGGCGGCGTCGGTGATCGCGAATCGCAAAGAAGAGTCTAAAAAGAGTAACAATACCGCGATCGAGATGAAACAAACGTGCATAGACATCGCTGCCGATTTTAAAAATCCATCTAAATGGTCTAAAAAATGTAAAATAAATCAAATTGATGATGATGATAAAATTAAAAAACCTAAAAAAGCAAAACGTACAATTAGTGTTAAAAAATCGAACAATAATAACTGTGGTTGTGATGATGATGATGGTCGTAATGATTCTTTTAAAAATAATAAGTTTGAAATCGTCAATCAGGAGGATGTTACAAAACAAAATATCGCGAAACAGTCTGCCCTATCTCTTGTGTTCTACTCGCGTACGTTTCGTGTTGATAATTTTATAAAATCCATCACAAAAGTCGAGGATTCGGACAAAAGGAAGGAAATGATAATGGATAAAATAAGAGATATGGAAAATCATAAACTTGTTGTTTTGTCGTACGTGCTTAATCGCGAAAATGATAAAATATTAGAATTGGACATGAGTAGTATAAAGAGAGAGATTGGCGAGAACAAATGGAGACGAAGAATGGATGATATCACTTCAGAGTTGAATAAAAAGTCGTTACTCGAAGTTTTAATGTCCATAAATAGTTTGAAAATTAAAATAATAAAAGAATTTCTTATATTAATGAATATTAATACAGACGCATTAGTCAAGTATGATAATAAATTTTTCATAACAATGTAATTTTATTGATAATAAATTTTTAATTTGTAAGATACATTAGTTAAGTATAATATTATATAATATATATATTTTTATATAATCATGTATTTAAGAGAACAATAAAAAGATATTGATTATTCCATTTTGTATACACAAGTTATAAAATTTGTTTCCGGAATAGAAAACGAGGCTGACTCTTGATCGAGAAACTCGATCTCCGTGTCGTGTAGAAACAACTTGCCCGATGATTCAGCTTCGTTCGCGAATTTCTTATAAGACCGACAATAATTTCTACCTGTAAAAGTATGACCGTATTTTGTTACAATTTCGTTTTGTAGATTCACATAATCCATAGACATGTTTTGCAATAATCTGAACAGACGTATGTGGTATTGCGACAGCTCTTGCGTAGAATCTAAAAATCCGTGTATTATCGAACCCATGACGTACGGATTCTGCGTGCAGTCTTCCATCATGCGTTTTAGCTCGTTGGCTCCGAATCTAGTGTTTTTGAACACATATCGGACAAGTATACGGCCAATCCTTCGGTCCACCAATACGGCTGTCTCGACCCATTAAAGTTTGGATTTGTCATTTTAAAGTCTAAATAATGCGCGTATTCGTGTCGCGTAGTGTTCAAATAAGAATCCGTACCACAGGTTATTTTTGATACGTACGTCCAATAACCGGTCATCATACCGCAGCTGGTCACCGATTTCGTGTACAGAGTATAAGTAATATGATTGCTAAAAATGTACATGTTGAAATTTTCGTATTTCATAGATGCCATCGCTTTGTTATAATCCGATTCGTTTATATCGAAAACCAGGCAAAAACGATTCATCGTAGAGTGTAAAATTGTATGCAACATTTTCATTTCCGCGTCGTTTGATTGGTAATCCGAGAAAATAGCGTTCGTATGCCACGGTAATTTTATGCGTAAAGATTTAAACATATTGTTCCAAGTCGATTTGACCGAGTATCCGTCGTTTCGCTACCAAGTCGGAGCGATTATTTTGTGCATTACCACGGTAGTGGTGTCTTTACCGGAATTGTCGTTTATCGATTTGATTTTAGCAGCGTGCAGATCCAATTGTATATCGACAATCATCGATTTCACCATATAATAAAATTCTACATAATTTGGCGAATCCATATTATTCATTATGTTCAAAACCTGATTTACCGTTTTTAATTTTTTGTCAATGTTGTCTTTATTATTATTTTGCGTTAAATTACCACTGATGTAAGATTGAAAAACGTCCATGTACATTTCTTTGAACACTTTGATGAGTTCGGAATTGTCCTTTTCCGAAGAATACTGCGGTTGCGATTCCAAATCTCGTGTCGTTCTCTTTGTGAAATCGTCGTTCTTGAGTTGTTGAAATTTAGCAAACGCATCGTTCATTTTTTCTATATACGATTTTTCTATAGACGAACCAACACCGATACTACTCGCGAAAATCAAAACTAAGTACAGATGCATCACGATACTTTGAATAATAGTGAAATGAAAAAAATTAAAAATTGTGTATTTATATATTTTTTTTGCAAATTTTTACCAAATTCTTTTAACAATTCGAAATCTTTACGACCCCCTTCGAATAAAGAATTTTTATTTATCTTTTCTTTTGCGTGCGACAATGCTTTGTCAAAATCTAATAATAAAGATTCAAATTCATCACCGGTTATTTTCATAAATTTATCTTCCATATTCTTAATATACGGTTTTATATAAGTTTCGGTACTCCTAGTAGATTTATGATCCAAGTACGTCGATATGAAATTAATATCTCCCGTCTTCTCGTAAAACGTCATGGCTTGCGTCGTTCTATTGCCGTGAACACCAAATCCGTACGGCAATTTCAATCCCGTCGTTTTGAAACATTCGTTTTTCATACGCGCATTGAGTGTTGCCGGTGACTTCACGTCGAATAAATTTGAAATTATATTTTTCTCGTAAGCGTACATTTTATCGGAATACAAAATTAACAATTGTTTTATGAATATATTGAATTTATACGTATATATCGGTATCCACGATGTGTGTATTCGTCGAGATGCTTTATCGTTAGTTTTTGTTTCATTATGATGATGATGATCATCATCATCATTGTGATCATTTTTACTGTTTGATTGTCGTAGTCGTCTTCGTTGTTTGCCCGTAGCTTCGTAATGTTTCGAGCGTTCGTCGTCTCGAGTAGTTTTCTTACGGCGCACATCCGTTATGACATGATTGTTTAGCGACAATTCGTAAAGCGATCGATTGGTCAATTGTTGCATTTCTATATTTCGTAAACCCGTATAATACGCCAGTAGCAGCGGTGCTGTGTATTTTGTCATGTTACACATCATCGAGCTTATATATTTCGCATACAGCGAATTGTCCACGAGACGCGTGTGTATTTTATTAGGAAACATTGCTCGATCCAATCTGTAGCGTTTCAATAAAGCAGCACCGCTGTATTCTTTATTCCCGTCATCATCATCGTCGTCGCCATCGTCATCATTTCTATTGGGACCAAACAATCCCGCGTTTTTCAATAATTTCAGGTATAAAACCACAGTGGAAAATCCAAAATTTGACAATATACAATAAGTCACTACGCGTCTATATCTCGATAAATAGTTTTGATCGTCCAACAGCTTTAGTCTAGTTACTATACACGATAGTGCTTTTGGTAGCGGTTTGTCGGCGTCTCGTACCGATACTCGTTTGGACGAAGCCACGGGCAAATATACTTTCGTGTTCTTCGACGACGTGTCCGCTACTATGAGCTCGTATTATGGGTGGAAAATTACCATGACCATCGTCCAATTGTTTTAAATTACTCAACGATTCACATTTGGAATTTTTAAAATGTATAAACAAATGTCGAACTGCTATTATCACGCGAACGAGCATTATTAAAACGGTGTATGTGTATTGGTTATTTGAGATTGGTTCGCGTAAAACATCGCGTTCAATGTGATTTCTCTTTTTCTCGTAAACCGAAACCGCCTGAGCCGATTGAAATATATTAAAATTTGACAATTTTACTTGATAATTTCTATCGGACCGCAGTACGGGTTTGTTTAATAAAAACGACATCGCCGAATCCGATATTATAAACGTTTCCGACATTATCCATATTGGTTCGACTAAATACAATTTCGTGATTGCGTATTTAAAATTTGTAATGTTGAATACTTTCGATATGCAGACGTTTATTACGTATAACCACGATTCATCGTAATAAACTGGCAAAGACAAATTATACAATTGTTGAGCCAGCATCAAAACCGACTCCCAAGTGTGAACGCCGTTGGTGCTCATCCCGTTATTCGTTTTATCTTGCCCTGAAGCAGTACTCTATGATCGCTATATAAATTATCTATAACGAATTGCGTGTGTTTGCTCAACTTGCCGTTGATTGTGTTATAAAACCTATACACCAATACTATATCTAAGACGGATGGTAGTGATATGTTGACGTTATACTTAAAGTATAACCATTTGTTCGCGTATTCGTCGTATACGCTGGACACGACTCTATTCGTTATAGAGGAAAAATTCTCGCCGAAAAAACCGTCCAACAGGTCGATAAAATCGACTATAGAAAATTTATCGTAAAATTTAATTTGTTGCACGGAGCTTTTGTCGTTGGCGTCGTCGTCATTATTATAGGCATAACGAACGGTTCCGGTTTTTATTATATTCTCGACGCTGTTTGTAAACGTAAGATTCGAACAGAACAACATAATTATAGTGCGAACTATAGAATGCATTATGTATTCAGTCAACACTATTTTCTTATCCGACTTGGTTTCTCTAGTGAAATATAGACCATTGTGTTTCAATAAGCAGTATTCATTGTTTTTCGGATATTCCGATAGAGTGTATATGAATCTGGTACGATTGGATTGATCCATGATTACGCATATTAATAATTATGGAGAATATAAAATACAGAGCTGGATCTTTCTTTTCCAATTGTAAATTGGTCGGAGTTTTTTCATGTAACAGTCTATAGAAAATCCTAAATTACAACAGATGCAATTACCGAGACACAAGGTGTTTAAAATAAAAGTATTCCCTAAATCTATAATAATAAAAAAACACATGTTGTTTGAATCGTATATTTAAACATTTTTACATGTTGGGATACACACATGTGATAAATTTAGAGTATAATAGCGACGTATTGTCCAGAGTGGCGAGAAAATACAATATAATAGTGTACAATAGATATTCTTATAAAAATTTATTATAAAGTTCCTTCCGTCGCGTAATTGGTAGAAGTAGATTCCATTAGATTCGACGCCGATTCTTGTTCGTTTAGATTCATAAACATAAACGAAAAGTCGTGATCTCGCATCTTCGCTATTCTTTTTGGTAGTTTTTTCAAAAGTCCGGTTTCATAAAGCATATTGTAATATTCATAATCAAAGTAATCGCTAGACTTGAGATAACTCATTCTTTTTTTCATTTCGACGTCGGCCATGCGCTTGTCGTTTTTAACGGCATTGCTCCTGTTGTCCCAGTTCAAAACGAACAATCTATACAAGACTTCGTGCATGGTCGTTCGGAAAGCTATAGATATAGTGTTCAATTCGATCTTTTCGATTTTTTCCAAATTTAAAAACAGCAATCCTCGTGCGTGTTGGTAGTGTAAGTTTTCGTCGCGCATCACCGTTCTTGTGATTTCGGCAATTTTATTACCGTATCCGAGAGCACCGACGAACATGTTTATCGCAAACGACACGCAAAACATTAGCCGTTCCGTGCACATCGATACGAAAACCATAATCGACAAATTTTCATTATATTTTTTAGAACGCAAATAACTATTGAATTTTGATAGAGGATACGAAATGGCGTTTATAAAATCATCCGAACATAGATATTTGAGATACTCGTTGGAATCGCACAATTCCAATATTTTAGAATAGGAAATTTGATGAATCGTTTCGCAAGCAATTTGATCGTTGAAAAAAGCTTTGACTTCGGGCGCTTTGATCGATCTATAAACATCGGAATCAAACATGTCTATGACCGTTTTGTCGCCCGCGGCTAAAAACGCATTGGCTCGCATCACCAAATAGCTGTGATAATTTGTATCCGTCTTCTTTTAAATCCGTCTCCACAAAATTCCAACAAACGGATTGATGCTTCATTATAATAAATACGAATGCATAAATTCTTCTCTAGGCGGATATATTAGTTCTCGCTTCAAAGCATCCGAATGAATATCTAGATGTTGTTAATCGTCACCAGAACCATCAACCTCATAGTCGGCGATGTAATTTTCGTTGCCACTACAATTTACGAAAAAAATTAAATACTAATTTTTAAAAAAAAATATAATTAATACTTACATAAAATATTGCGATCCGTTAAGATTTTTAAAGTCTTCCGCGTCCACACAATCCAAAGGTATGTTTATAGTTATATCGCGAATACCGTCGTCATTTATCCATATTATGTAATCGCGAAAATTAAATTTTGTTTGGTTTAGGTTTTTGTTGAAATCGTTATAAGCTTCTTGCAATTCATTTAAAATACTCACACCGCTTGAAACGTAATTTTCAGTTATTGTATTTTTTAAAGCATCGATCATGTCTTTATAACCAACATTTGTATTTTTATAAATCACCAATGGTGATTTTACTAATGTTTTCATATAAAAATCCGGATCTATGTTATTCATCGTGTGTATGTATGTATGTATAGAGTTTTAGAAAAACGATCGAATCATCGGCAACGAAACCACACCTAACACTAACGGTCCACAAAACCTGTCGATTTATTTTATATAATATATATATATCGGATCGTGAGAGAAAAATAATATTATATACTCTAGATTCAACAAGCATCGTCGTGTCTCGTCTGTTTGCTATAAATCTCCAACACTTGTTTCTTTTCCGATATCTTACATTCTCCGCAAATTACGGCAAAGTTGATAATGCTGTCTTTATTAACGTATTAGAAAAGCGGACTGGCACACTTTCGCAAAATCTATAGATGCAAATATCAGGTGGATCAAACCAACGAGTAATAATTACGACCGTTTTGTCGGTATTGTTAAAGGAGCGGCAAAGCGCTGTGTACCCCGAGGTTATAGACGAGATTATATACCATGTTGGAATCCTGAAAGTAATCAACTTTATACAGAATACCAAAAAAATAGCACAACTGAGCTTGCAGATATGCTCCTAATTTCACTGGCAAAATCACGTAAAGAAATATGGATTGAGACGATGGAAAAACTAGATTTCAAACACTCCAGTAGAGAAGCCTGGAATCTGCTCCGCAGACTTGACCCGAACCCGACAAGAACAAAATCGATACCGAAAATAAAACCTGATGAATTTGCCAACAGAATAATCGAAATGACCAGAGCTACGATGAATAAAGAAACAGCAAGACAAGTCACTATGAACCTAAAAACTAAAAAACGTGAAGCGACGGACAGATTTAAATGGGCAGAGAATTTTGTCTCTGAAGAAGTACAAATAGCTTTAAAAAGTGTAAAAACTGGTAAAGCGGCGGGACTAGATGGTATTCACCCAGAATTCCTTAAGAACTGTGGTCCCAATACAAGAAAATGGTTAGCCGACTTTTTCTCCGACATATTATGCTCGGGTAAATTACCAAAATTATTTAAAACAACCAAGGTATTAGCGGCTCTAAAACCAGAGAAGCCAAATGACGACGTAAAAAGTTACAGACCCATATCGCTACTAAGTGCAAGTTACAAGCTTACTCGAGAGACTAATCTATAACCGAATATCGAAAACCATAGATGAGGTCTTACCGCAAGAGCAGGCAGGGTTTCGCCCACAACGAAATTGTTGTGACCAAGTCATGGCGCTAACCACTCACATCGAAAATGGCTACGATAAAAAACTAAAAACAGCTATAGCTTTTGTCGATCTGTCCTCTGCTTACGACACAGTTTAGCGAAAAGGCTTATTATCTAAATTCCTCGATGTAATCCCCTGTAAAACATTACTCACTCTACTTAACAATATGCTCAGTAATAGACAACTAACCGTCTACATAGGAGAGGAAAAAAGTAAGATGAGAGTGCTAAATAACGGCTTACCACAAGGATCGGTCCAAAGATTCGTTTATTTCTAGCGAATTTGCTAATTATACGCAATCGGTGTTGCGTAAAAAAACATTTGTCGATATTATGAAAGATCTTATTTTATCGTGTGACATCTATTTGGAATACACGAAAAGCGGTCGCATGCCCGAAAAAACAATTCAACACATTATTTCATCGGGTGATTATATAATAAAAATTATAAACACTCTGAAAAGCGAATTTACTCCGAATTATCGCAAACGAACAACGGCAAACGGCAAACGTAGTTTCAAAAACACGACGAACACCAATGATTTGGAAAAAATTAAGGATATATGCGATTGGATCGACGCATATCCCGACATACTACAATTGTACATATCTGTAAGTATTATTTTGTTTGTGTGTTTTCTTAAATTTACAAAAAAAAATACTTACTTTATTATAGAAAAGATCGATATTGCTGATGGATTTATCGGACGGCGGTGGAAAAAGAGCAGCGAGCGAGAATGCATCTTTGCGACACGAGAAGAAGGCTGTTATGATCGTCGAAAACAACACAGCGGTCGATGCATCAAAAAGTAGTAATAGCAGTAGCAATAATATACTGTGGAATTATGACAACGACGATGTTGCTGTCGATGATACTGTTGCTGCTGTCTGTGATACTTTACTTATGAAAAACGACGATGATGATGATGATGATTATGATATTTTTTAAATAAAAAAAATTATCCCAATATAATATTTTTTTCCGTTATTAATATGTGTTCTGGTAGTTGGGTCGTGGTGAAATTATAACCCAAATTCACGATATCCTCGTATGCTGGCGATTTTATCGGGGCGTTTAAATCGTTGGAATAATAAATATCCACACTGTCGATCGTGCTACGATGATCGGTGAAGCCGGTGCTGCACGGAAACATTTTATACGCATCCGTGATCGGTGAATTTATGTTGAAACATTTGTACGGTATATTGGCTTTATTTTTTTCACCAGCCACAACGACGTTTTCAATCACTTTGGATGAACACGGCGTTCGTCTGTCCGTATTGTCGATATTTTTCACTTTTGTTTCGTAAAAATCACCACAGTCGCAAAACATATTTTCAATGTTTCCGTCTTGGTTCAATTCTACTTTTGATTTCACGTCGGGATGCGCCCCGTACAAATACGTACTCGCGCAATAATTTTTCATAGGATGAAACCTTTCCATGGGATGTTATATATAGCGGTTCTTGTATTCATCTGTACCGTTAAAGCGACACGTGTATCTGTAAGAACCGTCTTCCAACAATTCATCGGCGTAAAAACTATATATACCGTTTGTTATAATCTTTTTATTCTCTTTATTGTTCCACAGTACGTTTAAGGGGTCGTTTATTCTTTCATTGTTGCACGCTACGACGGTATTGCCGGTTGGTCCTCCGAAAATTCGTGGATCTTTGCTTCTACAGAACAAAGAATTTATAGTCATTATCGCTATACTCGTGCGAAAATTACACTGGGGTCGGGATCCTATACGACAGTAGGATCCGCTTTTCAATAATTTCTGATCGAAATACAATGATTCGTCTTTGCCGATAATCAGCGTGGTGGCCGTTTCGTTTGAACAGATTCTACGACACTCGTCGTCGGTTATGTTATCTATACCGGTGAGCATAGGACCCTTGCTGCAATCGTTGGCCATTTCTATTTCCGGATTGGTAGTTATGATTTTTATATTTGGTATATTGTCTATACTCGATGCGTTCAACAGACTAGCGAGTTTGTCGTTTTTGACCAATATATTTTCATTATCCCGTATTCTTTGCACCAACTTATATATGAGTAGTAATAATACAACGTAAATAATCAACCACAAGCATTTGTAGCCGTATTGTTGGAAAAACGAATTGTATTTAGTGGTATTTGTTTGCGTTTCCGATTCATTAGAAGTTCTCGCCGACATAGTTGTGTGTATGTATATAAAGCAAAATGTCTATTTTGTCGGAAAATTTACTTGTAAAAAGCGTATGTTCGTATAATTCGGCATAGGATTGTAAAAGTCTTGATAATTTCGAACACACATCACCTATTTTAGATACGAATAAACACTACAATAATTTCAATAAACGCAAATCTGTTGATAATTTACAAAAAAATACAAAGCGTCAGAAAAAAAATAACGACGACGGTGATGATTTTGATATACAAAGAAGAATGTCTATCGAAAAGGAATACACTAAAGCCATGCTTTTAGCTATAATTAAGAAATCCAATATATTTATTGCGTAGTGTGAAATACGAAGATTACAGCGACGTGGATTTGCGCACTTTGATAAATATTAATAGCAATACTCAAATAAAATCTATACCCATAGTGTTGACAAAGTTTGGAGTGAAAATTGCTCTCACGCATTTGAAAAAAATCCTACCGGATTACACGAGTTATTGGTCGCCGGAAAATATATCGTGTACCGTGGAATACGACGAATTGATGGGTCTGTTGAAAGATTCGAAACAGATGAATATAATGATGATAGTTGCTAAAAACATAGTAACCAGCGCGCCTTAAATGTCTCGATAGAAAACATGTCTTCGTTTCTCGACGATCTAGCCGGTAAATCTAAAAACGATAATCGTGACGATGATGATGATGATGATTGCGGTGAACGAAGAATTGATAAAAATCAAACTTTACGTAATGATTTTAGAGACGATATTATTAGAAAATTTAGCAGCGAATCTGGTGGTAGTTTAAAAAGTATAGACGACAATATTAGTATTAACAGTAGTCATTGTAATAGTAGTAATAATAACGCCAGCAGTAAAATATCTATACATAAAAAGAAACTATCGTATTTACCGCAGCAGCCTATAATAGGATTCGACGTTAGTAAAGAATCTAATTATGATTGTAACAATTCGTTAATATCGTCTTTGAAGAATAATAGCGACAACGAAGACGACGACGACGATGATGATGATAAAAATTTACAAAATATTAAAAACGATACTACCGCAATAGCAATATCGGCAAAAGAAGAGTCTAAAAAAACAAATGGTATAATAATAGGCACGAATATCAATGTAAATGACGACAACGACGACGAAGAAGAAGAAGAAGAAGAAGAAGAAGAAGAAGAAGAAGAAGAAGA